TACTGAATTACAGTTAACAATTAAATAAAACTATTTTTTTCTGTTCATTCCTCTGAGTTCAGTCATAAAATCTCTGATGTATTTAGATTCTCGTACTTCAAGTAAACTTCTTCCGTGGTCCCAAACCTTCTCTAGAACGCTAACTTTTAGATGGTAGAGTTCATGTCCAGAAAGTCTCCTGTAGGTAGATGAAGATTTCTAATGTAACCAATATGTTCTCTCATTCGTTCATCTAAAGATCTTGTTGTCTGTCCTATATATTGTAGTTTACACTGCTCACATGTAATACAGTAAACTACATTTCTGGTCTTACAGTTGAAAGTTCCATTAATCTCAATCTTCTTGCTGGTATTAGAGGAAGGTATAACTGTTCCAGGCTCTATGTAATTACAAGCGATTTAAGGTTTCATTCCAAGTATTGGCCTCTTTGGCCTCATTCTAGGACGATCTGGAATTCCGTCTCGGATGAGTTTATCCCTGAGATTAGGAGGTCTCCTATAGGTAACCATAGGTGGATTTTTAAAAACCTACTTCATCTAAAGATCCTGGACCATGGCTGTCCAATGTTTCTGTATGATGGAGGAGAGGATTAAATGAGATAGAGATTATAACTCCATCTGGTTTCTCCTTTTTCTCCACTTTCTTCAAAGCAACTTCTCTAGTTATAGCTTTAGCTCGGACTACAGCAAAGTCCACAAATGATAAATTGTAATCCCTGCAGAGAAGAAAATCCCTTAGTTTTAAGAATTGTGCATCCCTAAGTTCTGGTTTGCTGCAAATTCGTACAATTCTGTATGCAAGTGAATAAGGTATGTTGTTAGAGATATATGCTAGGTGGCAAGATGATGGAAGTAGGTACATACATCTATCTGTGGGTTTTCTGTAGAGATCTGTTGTAATTTTTCCATCTTCAATGTACAGTTTTGTGGCAAGGAATGGAATACTTTTTATTCCGTGGCACCAACAGTCATGTTCATCCTTTAAACTACAATAAAATGGAGAACTATGTTTTAGGGTAAACTTGATTGTAGGCCCTATTTTATTGATATCCAGGAATTGATACAATTTCTCAGTAGAAAGTGTCCATTAGCAGTGCTGCTTGAAGTAGAAAAGATAGAAGGATTTCAACATAAACTTAGTTCCTAGTGACCCTTTTAATTCATGCAATTCACAGCAATACCCTTTAAAACTTCTATCTGAAGATAACAGTCTTTGTCTTTAACTAACTATTTTACAAACTAGAAAACCTTGAACTAAATGACCACTAAAAAATTGAGTTGATATACCCTTTAATAGCAATGCTTAAAAGATTTGAGGACATTTTTATAAAAACTTATTTTTTAAATTCTTATTTTGTATCCGAGTAGCTGAGAGAGTTAGGTACAAGAGACTAGAAAGCCCGTAGGGTAGGTAAAGAGAGCTAGAGCTAGCGGAAAACTTTAGAATTGTGGATATCAAAATCAATGCTTGATCTCCTCTTTTTGCTAATCTCCAGATTAGTATAATCTTAATCCACTAAAGTGCATAGATTTCTACCAATCAGAGTGTACCAAAAAAAGAGGATTAAGAAAATCATAAGTTTCCATAATGGATATACAGATTAAGCGATCGGGATGAAGGGTATCCAATTCTAAAATTTTCAGCTCAGGTGGGAAATGTTGAGGAAGGTACGCGGCAAGCGGCGCAACATGTGTACTGTACTGTCAGGGCCCATCATCTTCACAATATTTAACTATCCATCTTAGACGGACACCTAAATACACATTCTTTTATTTACCCACTCGACAACAGTATTTAGACATGAACACACTACAGCACAATATTAATTATGATCAAACTTTGCTTAGCAAATATTTGTCACAAGTTTTATTTGTTTAGTTGAAGTATTCATACTTTAGGTCCACACTATACACAATCTCCAGTAGTTTCTCGAAAATAAGAAAAAAATTCGATCGTTAATTTAATTTCAAGTTAACCTCAATCTCAATTGTTAAATGTCCGAATTACAATGGTACCCATTTACCCTTTATAGATGAGTAACATTTCTTTCCATTCCTAGTCTTTGCTGCAGAAATCCCCAAATCACTTTTATTACTTAGAAGCTGGAATTGAAAATTGTCAATTTCCGGAGAGAAGGATATCTCCATCAATTTTACTCCGCCAAAGTTTGTTATGGCACCTTTTTGTTTAAAATGAAGGGTCACTTGAAATAAAATCCAATTTAAGTCCCTTAGAAAGAATGTTGGAGGGAAGCAGGTTTATTTTAGAAAACGATTTGTTGCGCCCCCCCCCCATCCTTAAATTTATCAAATTGTCCACACCACTTTAATAACGGTACCACATGCATTGGAAACTTTGGAGTTATTTTAAAGTTACTAGCTTGTAATAAATATATTTCTAATTAAAAAGTAACCAGCTCTTAATAAATATATTTCTAATTAAAAAGTTACCATGCTCGTAATAAATATATTTCTAATTAAAAAGTAACCAGCTCTTAATAAATATATTTCTAATTTGCGGGCCAAGCGAAGAAGCTGAAAAGCACAAAAAAGGGTTGACAGGCGAAGAAAAGCTGCAAGTTGGAATTTTTTTGTAGTTGATTATTTATATTTAGGCGGATGTGTCTCTGACCGGATTTAACGGCTGCACTGCCCTTGACCTGGCCACTCTAGTAGATGATAAGGATAGCGCGCTGGTCAGATTATTAGCAGCGCATACAATAATGGTAATATTCTGGTTTTATCATGGAATGGGATCTTAGTTTTATTTACTAAATATGATCTGTTTAAAACTTTAATTCTTATACCAAATCTATAATATAAAAAATAATATATAAAAGTTTTGGTATAACTTTGACACCGTTCTATATCAATTTCTCGAGACAGGAACATCAGATAGAACTTATATAAATAGGTCTCGATCAATTTCTAAATTGCTTAGGTTTCAGCCTATACCCCCTTTCATTTTTACGTAACACTCCCTTTAAAATACAAAACTCAAAATACAAAACACAAAGAAAAACAAAAACACTTAAGGCACAAAACAATAAACATAAAACAATAGAAAATATATTCCAATCAAAAAAAAAAAAAAATGATTTAGTTTGATTCATAGCCATGTTTGATTTGTGGTTGCGTTCTTGATTTAAAGTGTTTAATTTTATTGGTCATTGGCCATGTTTAATTTTTGTCTATGTTTGAATTATGGCCATGTTTGATAGTTGGTAATTTTTAAATTGTGATCCGTTTTGATTCAAGTCTTTGTTTGAGTAGTGCTCTTGGGATGACTTGAAAATTGAAAAGATTTGAAAAAATTAATTATTTATTTTCTAGAAGGTTCCACCAAGTCTAGTCCTAACACCTACACGGCGACCCCAGCAGCCAAGGAATTAACATTTTTTAAAAAAAAATTTAAATTTTTGCTATAAAAAATTTTTTAAATACTATTTAGCCCAAAAACCTGCAATTAAATCTTGATATACAACAAAGCAACAATGAAGCCAATGAAGGAATCTAGATTTTTTTGGATTGAAAATAAAAATATAAAAAAATTTGATATTGGTAGGATTGCTTTCCAAACAAGATCCTTCAGCGAAGCAACCCTAGATATCTTTGAACCTTCAGGGCTTAAAGGCAGAAAGCAGTAGAAGACAATATTATTTTTATACTTTTATCATCAATATAATTATTATTGTCATGAACAACAATTTTCATCCTTTCCTTGTCATTTTCATTCATATGATTAATGTCAGCATTATCATAAAATTCTACCATTAACATCCTTATTTCTTATGATAGTGATAGTATCAGTTTGATTCCTAAAGTCCTTAATTTTATTATCTTAATCATCTTTATCATATTTAGCCTGTCCTTGCCGCTCCGCTCGGCTCAAAAAGTGATCTAACCCTAAAATATATTCTAATCTCTCTCTTGTATTTCAACGCGGCATGTGCACGTAACTTCCTTGGGCAACTGCCATATTTGTTGATAANTTTTTGGGGGTTTCGTTAAAACTGTTTGCTCTAAATTATACCGTTTTAATCCTCAAAATATACTCGAAATGTACTCGGTCCCTGTTCATAGAACTTTCAATCAAATTAAAACATCCTTTTATGTCACTTATTTTTTAAAAATCCTTATTTAGAACAGAGACAGATAATATTTTTGAAATATTAGGCATACTTTGAAAGGATAAAACGGCATTTTAGAGAAAAATGTTTCATCGTAAGACCTCCCATGTATGAGTTTTATACCTGCTAGAAGCACTTTTAAACACAATAAAACGATGATTAGTAGGATAAAACGCCTAAACACACTTTTTCAGAGACACTCTGTATGTTAGCTTTAGCTGGCAAAATTAGTTGAAGCTATTGGTTTAAAAAGTAATTTTGTGATTTTGTTGGATTTCAAAGACGAGTAAATTTTAATTTTTAGAATTCTAAAATCCCTTCAAGCTTCAGGAAAATGGAAAATTAAATTTTTTATTTTATTTTCCCTCCTTTTTAACAAAATAATCTGTGGTTTTCATAAATTCAGTGATGAAAACATTCTTAACATAATTGGGTTGGGGATTTTTAGTAAAATATATTCCCCTGTTTTAAGAATGTCAGTTCGTCCTGCAAGCAGTATGATGGAGGATGAGAATGGTTTAGGGATCCAGAAATTAGTTCCGCAAACCTCAGTTTATACTCTAGGTTAGCTCCTGTTTATTTCAGTTTATACTCTAGGTTAGTTCCTGTTTATTTCAGTTTACACTCTAGGTTAGTACCTGTTTATTTCAGTTTATACTCTAGGTTAGCTCCTGTTTATTTCAGTTTATACTATAGGTTAGTTCCTGTTTATTTCAGTTTATACTCTAAGTTAGTTC